TGTCCTAGTGGGGTAAAAAGTCAGTCCTAAAATCTCAGCTAATATAAAGAGTAAAAACATGAAATTTAGAATGGATACTTCTTATTCCATATTATAGAGACTGGCTATTTTAAAAGTAGATTTTAGAAAGTTTGTGTTTTTTAAAAAATTGGTCATTGTCTTATGATGCAAGATTGTTTTTTTTTTTTTTTTTTTTGTGACTTTTTCAATAAACCTACATTTTAAAATTCTACGAAAATTATTTGAAAAGATGTTTAAAGTAAATAAGCTATACCTGTTCCTCTAAATGGGATTAGAGGTTATGAATCTATCATTTATTGTTTAAGTCGTATGTTTGTTTTTGAAATTTAAGGATTTTAAATGCATGTTGTTTTTCCCCACAAGAGGGCGGCTATTGCCATGACAACCATGATTTTTTCATACTTAAAGTATGCAAATGTAATAACATGTATCCCTTCAAATGACCATTATAAAATAATTGCTCTAACTCTGTAAATAAAAAAAAATAAAAAATAAACTTTGTTTAGGCGTAGTGAAAAAGGGGAATAATATTTTCCTTGAGGGAAAAAGGGAGATAGGGTTTCCAGTGAAGATATGAAGAAACTGTGATAAATTATCACACATGAATTGGAATATTATAAAAGAAAAACGTCAGGCTGACACAAGGATTTTGCTGATGAAGGCTCGGATATATTGGGACGACGATCTATTCAGACCTTCTGACATGGTATTCGGGCCGCTTGTCGATATGTTAGTGTATTCTGATACTGTGTATGTTATACTGTCGCTTCCATGTGGGATGTAATTTTTAGTAATTTTGAAGCGGGGTTTCTGGGACCTCTCCCCAGGTGACCCTTATCCGTATGGTGGAACTTTGTGTCACCGGGTGCTTGTCTCTTGTGTGATGTCCTGTTGGGGTACAACTTACCTACCTATCTACCTTTTGCCTGTCATCCCCCAGTGACCAAAGCTGTATTATGATCTGTCGTCTTCCCTGCACAAATTGTGTGGCTCAGAGAAAGCCTGGTCTAGGTTGAAAGAGACGGATCATCGCTGTGTGCAGCACAAATGTATGTGTGCTATTCGCTCGCATTGAGCATTCAGCCTGCAGTATGTAGACTACTATCAACTGGATTTTTTTTAATCCTAGAAATACGAAACTGGTTTCCTCCAAGCGAGTTGACATGACAAGCTTTCGTGGTTGTTTTAATTTATAAACGCACATGCGGGATGTGTTCCACTTCCATGACAAAAACTGTCATATTATGATGTGGCTCTATCAAAGAAAAACGATGTTTAACATTCCGATGAACTGTAAGGAATTGTAGGTTTTCTTTACTTCTGAGGAGCTGAACCAAAGAAATATTTAAATATACGCGCGATGGTAAAAGAAAAAGTTGTCAGAATATGAGAATTATTAATTCTTTCTTTCTTCTTCTTCTTTGTTCACCGTCTATAAGCTCTGGGAGAAAGTCCCATATAGTTGTTCCTCCACTGAACTTTGGTTTTGTCCCAGGACCTGGGTTTTGCGTGTTTCTCTGTGTTACTGGCATATTTCTGTGCAGTTGGTTGTTCTTTGCCGCTCGGGGAGGTGCACTCCGACTTCAAAGGAAGCCACCTGTTAGTCGACTCCTACGACATGCTTGTTGGGGATGCAGTGGGTCTTTTCTTGTTTTCCCTAAAATGGGGCCCCAGAACTCACATAGGGAATTGGGGAGGTCAGTCGTGATCATTCAGGAAGTCAGTAAGAGATAACACGAAATTACCGAGAAGTGATGTTTCTGCATCATCACGAAATCTCCGCGAATACATCAAAGGTGTCATCAGGATAGCTTTTAAACATAAAGCACAGACCTGGTGACTTTGACTGAATCATGTCAACTGAGCGACTGATTAGTTCATGGAAGAGCCCACATTTTCAGTCCATACATCATTATGTTCCTTCTACCTTCCAGAATAGAGATGGGATTATAATGACAGTATGTTACTGTGATATATATATATATATATATATATATATATATATATATATAGTATATATATATATATATATATATATATATATATATACTAGCCGTACCCGGCCACTCGTTGCTGTGGCCCAGAATGGTAAACTATAAAAGAAAGAGAATCGAAAGCGCACATGTCTTATATGGTTAATATCAGTCATTGCACAGCTACAGAGATAGTCTGATGTGCCGACTCCAGAACACGCAACATATAAGTGAATGTCGATATTAGTGGTCGAATAAAGTGCACTGTTAAAGAGAGAGAGAGAGAGAGAGAGAGAGAGAGAGAGAGAGAGAGAGAGAGAGAGAGAGAGAGAGAGAGAGAGAGAGAGAGAGAGAGAGAGAGAAACAGGTTATTTGTTTATCAAGGCTAAAGCATCTGTTGTGCTTTAACAGGTAAAAGTAAAGCTGACTGCTATACCTCTAACTGAAAATGAAAAAAGCTGAGGAAGAGGTATTAAAATATAAATATGTAAGAAATGAGAACTGTAAACAAAAGTTTTAAGCTTTCTGAGCTAACAGTGTCTGCCATAAACCCCCCCCCCCCCTCCCTTTCCCCAATCATATCTCCCTCTCAGAATGATTTAACAACTATCACGTGGCGGCATTGTTAAAATAAAAATAGTTAAGAAATGAGAACGGGCTGTACGAATAGTGATTTTCACTTTTCGGCCGAATACGAATAGCGGGACCAACTATTCGGCCGAATACGAATAGTGTATCATCATCAGGTGCCTTGCCGACTGGCGTAGGCGATTATGCCTCGCCACAATCTTTGATCTCCTGCAGCATGTATTAGTTCGCGTGCTGACACACCTCCATGCCATGCAACAAGACTGTCAAGAATCTTCTCTTGTTGTCTTCTTCTATCCCTCTTCCACAAATCTTTCCAGTGATCCCTACCTGTTTCATTTTCCCTCTTCTCATAACATGGCCGAAAAATGATGACTATCTTCTTTTGATGTGTGTGATTAGTTGTCTTCGGGCTCGCGCCTCTTTCAAAACCATCGTTTGCTCGGCCGTTCGGTGGATGCATTTTAAACGCACCTTCATATTCTCGTTAGCATTATCTTCAAATTTGATTTGGGCAAAGAAACCTTGAAAAAACGAAATAATGCTCTCTCTCTCTCTCTCTCTCTCTCTCTCTCTCTCTCTCTCTCTCTCTCTCTCTCTCTCTCTCTCTCTCTCTCTATCTATCTCTCACTCTTTCTCTCTCTCTCTCTCTCTCTCTCTCTCTCTCTCTCTCTCTCCTCTCCTCTCTCTCTTTCTCTCTCACACACACAGACACACTAACACACACATACACACAAGCAACAAAAAATTGCGCATTGTCTTTAAATATAAGTGCTTACTTGACGAGGCTAACAGTTACTATTGTACAGACCACATTTTGCACTTTAACATTTCAGCCAAAATGTAATCACAACCTTACTTATCCGCTTTACCTTCATGAATACAGATGGAGAATCGGTCGCACCTCGAGATAAATACAAAGACAATTTTTAGCACGCTGCAGTTGGCATTTTATACAGTATGATACACTTTGAGTGTGAAACAAGGGGGGGGGGGGACTCTTTTAGACAGTGGCAAGGAAAGACAATTAAAATTTTAACTTTTGAGTATCTTCATGCCTTCTTTAATAATGTCACAATTTATAGCCGACTTTTCTTGATTTTCGGCTTGGCACCCCTGGCATGCCCACCCAGTTTGAGAACTTCTGCTGTAATGCCTCGGTCGAGTCAGCAGGCAAAGACCTTGCCAGCTGCTGTACCACGTAACCGGATCGCAGTTTCCACTGCTATGACAGACTAAGGCAACAGTAACTATTGTGTTAATAAGAGAGTTATTTCAGTCCATCGCAGTGTATGCAGAAACGGGTGTAAGGTAACCATTATTCCCATTCGGCCCAACCGCAAGTATTCGGCCGAATACTGAATAGTTATTAGGTCCACTATTCGGCCCCGAACACACATATATGTCTATATAAACCTGCAAATAAACAAATCTATTCAATTAATATCTCAAATAATTCGAGTCAAGTTTTGTATACTGTTAGTAAAGCGTCCAGGAAGTCCTCTGTTGTCTTCCTATCGAGTGCTCCACTCATTGCGGAACCCAGTGATTCGTTCATTGGCTGGACACTAGTAAAGATATAGCAATGAAATTTTGAAAGCACTTACCTCCGATAATACAAAGAAGTGCTGGAAATGGCCACCATTGTTGTCCAGGCTGCATTGAACGCGGCGTTTCATGTTGTGGAAATTCTGTTTTATTACGTAAGATGTCACTGCGTGGATAGCCTCGCTGATGTCAAGGTCACGCGATGTTTTGCATAAGGGAACACATGTTTAAGTTATTTTTTTTTGGGGGGGGGGTGGGTGAGGGGGGGGGGGGGGACACAAGGCTTGTATTTCCCATGTAAATAATACACAGAAAACAAAAGCAGAAGATAATATGACCATGTAATTAGCAAAAAAGAAAATAAGACAGAAAGGTCGTGTTTTCCCTGTAAGTAATAAACAGAAAACACGACACAAAGGTTGTGTTTTCCCTGTAAGTAATAAACAGAAAACACGACAGAAAGGTTGTGTTTTCCCTGTAAGTAATAAACAGAAAACACGACAGAAAGGTTGTGTTTTCCCTGTAAGTAATAAACAGAAAACACGACACAAAGGTTGTGTTTTCCCTGTAAGTAATAAACAGAAAACACGACACACAAGTTGTGTTTTCCCTGTAATTAATAAACAGAAAATAAGGCACAATGGTTGTGTTTCTCCTGTAATTAATAAACCGAAAACAGGGCACAAAGGTTGTGTTTCCCTGTAATAAATAAACAGAAAAGAAAGCACAAAGGTTGTGTTTCACCTGTAAGTACGATGTACGTAATAAGACAAGACCTGAATGTCGACTTTGCCATATCTAACTAAGACAGTGATACCTCTTTTCCACGTTTATAAATCAGATTAAATGTTTGTTTTGTCTTCTCCACAGGTAATTCGCATGCTCATTGTTGTGGTGGTTTTATTCACCGTCTGTTGGGGGCCTGTACTGATCAACAACCTCTTAGTGGCTCTGAATGTCATCGACAGACTTCACGTGGGTCCCTTGAAGCCCTTGAGACAAGCCATCTTCCTGATGTCCTACCTAAACTCCAGCTTAAATCCCCTCGTCTATGGCTTCATGTCGCGACATTTCCGTCGCGGATTTAAGGAAGCCATTTGTGTCTGTTGTTCCCACAGTCGGCGCCGAAGCAAAGAAAACAGAGGTGCCATAGGAAGAAGGCACAATACCACAAGCAGTAAGTACGCGTCAGAAGCTGGCCCCTCAGTTGTTGGCACCGGCACCATTAGACTCAGCCCTGTATCTGAACAAATGCAGATTGGGGTTTATGAGAACTTCGAGGAGTATCCGGTGGCCAGCCAAAAGTACAGCACACAAATGTGGGCAAGAACTGACAGATTCTCTCATGGTCTTCAGGGTATGTACAAATAGAACGATCTGAGTTGAGTTGTTGAGCTGAGTAAAAAATTGACATCACAGCACTCTCGGCATTCTCATGCATGCTCCGTCCTCATCTTCAGCAGCCAGCGCAGAGTTCCAGTACTGATGGTACCGGTCACAATTCTGTTATAAGTCCATCTTGCCTTTTCTCTGAGTGTAGTCAACCGGCCAGACCCTCTGGTTACACCCAGGTGCATCATTCTCTCCAGGCCATAATAATATTCTTTCTTTACTAATTCCGTTGCTTGTTCCCAAAGGGCCGTGACCACATCTGCCTTGTCATGTATCAATTCACCAGCCAGTGGTGCGCATCAAGCCAATCTGTCTGAATGTTCATTTCCCACCACGCCGGCATAGCCTGGAGATAAGATCCAAAGTATGCTCACCACCCGTGACCTTTCCAGTGAAGTTCGCCACTCTGCTCGAAGCGTCCCTGTCTTCATTTTTTTTTTCCAGCATGCTTTCATACCCTGTTACAATTACGACATGTGTATGCATCTTGTTCTCTAGCCACAGGAGAGCTGCAGTTACCACCTTCACCTCCATTCTCATGCTACATGTTGTGGTGTCATATGTTAGGCTGTCTTGCACTAAAGATTTTCCATTGGCTTTTGCTACGAACCCACAGGTACTTCTCTTTCCTCTCAACACTGAACCATCTGTATAGATAATTAGATCACCTGGGCGTGAATTGTCGTGAATCAACTGTTGAACTTCAACCTCCGTAGCACCCCCTGGCCACTCTCTGCACACTCGGTCCCATATTATCATAAAACTACACAGGTCAGACTTTTCCGCTGGTACTCTGACCCACTCCTCTCCTCGCCCAATGTTCTTCAGCATGCACATTTGTCTTATTGTGTCTTCTGCTTGAGCCATAAACGATATTCCCATTTTCAGCCTCTGACCCTTGCCATGCAGTCAAAGCTTCATACAGAGGGTGTTCCCTGTCTGCAGCTATTCTGAGGTATGACTTAGCCTGCAGCACCTTTAATGTGTACACTGCTGTGTAAGCATGGATGGAAATAACATTGTCCAGATCAACGGTTCTCAAACTGAGTGCCGTTAGCGTGTGCACAAATCAAGAATTGTTCAATACCTGCTTGAGGTCAGCGAGTACAGCAGTTTAAGACAGAAATTTCATGAAGGAAGCCAAGATGAGTTCTGGATGCAGGCTTATTTAGAAAAAAAAAATGATGTTAGCAAAGCAGTGGTGCATTCTTAATGTACGATTACATAATAATGACAGACACAGGAGCTACATTAAAGTGATTTGATGGTACAATAAACTAAACTGCTCATAAACACAAAGGAAGTAATGAAAAATTCATCCAAAGTTTCATTCATCGCATCAAAGACAACTGAACATTGCATTTGCATGTTGTTGTTTTTTTTTTGGTGGTTGTTTTTTTTTTTTTTTTTTTTTCTATGTATTCAAACTGCTTTAAGAGAAGTTGTGTTGCAAAAAGTTGTTTTGCTAAACAAGGGTGCCGGGGCCAAACAATTTTGAGAAACGCTGGTCTAGACCATGGCGTCATCAGATGGTTTCACAAACGCCGACTTTCGTAGGTAGAGACAAGTCTAATATAAATGTTACAAATAACCCATTTTACAGCTGTGTGGTGAAGTAATTTCCACAGCTGAGAAATCTGGAACTTCATATTGCTTGCTCACAGAAAAATCACTTACAGCCTATATGATCCAACGAGAAAAACCGACTGCAAACATCTATAGTCTTCTCTGTTGCTATGTACTTGTCCATGTAGACCCAGACGTCGTTAAGAAAAGTTCAGGTAACTCCGTATGTTTTTCACATGAATTCCAGAGCCTGTTGAGATGCCATAATTGATGTCATTCTGGGCAATCTTAATGTTTATTTACAGCCAACTAAAGAATATGCAACCGTCAGATAATAATACGTGTCAACCCCCCCCCCCCTGCCCTTTCTTGGAGCCAGTCATGCCGACCTTATGTGTATAGGGAATCCCCTATGTCAGTGTCTCAAATATGTGTTGTCATTCAGCCTGATTCTCCCCTTGTCTCATTCTCTCTCTCTCTCTCTCTCTCTCTCTCACTCTCTCTCTCTCTCTCTCTCTCTCTCTCTCTCTCTCTCTCGCTCTCTTTCTCGCTCTCTCTTTCGATATATATATATACTTATATAAATATGTATGCATGTGTGCTGCACTGGCAAGCGGGTGGGTGGCAGTTAATGAGTGTATGTATATGTTTATGTTTTTACGGGTGTGTGTGTGTGTGTTTTTTTTTTTTTTTTTTTTTTTAACCACTACCTGTTTCAGTATGCGTGCTGAATTATAATAATACAGTGAGATGATATTCTGGCTCCGGGACACCAGTAGCACACACATATCTTCTTGTAGGCAGTCAGCAGTCCAAAACCCAAGTTCAAGGTGACTCCTAAGTGCCAAAGAACTGCATGGCTGTTAGATGAACAGTCGTTAACGAAGACAGGCAGGTCGTTGTAGTGGCGACGCTTACTGGTGGATGTAATATTCCAAGTCCATTCTCCAGCTAATAGTGAGGGTAATGCTGGGGTGACCGTTTATTAATCCTCACATAATGCTTTATGTCAAAATGGACGCTAGGCACGGCCACTGTTTTGAGCAACTTTGTTTGCTTCTGCCAGACGGTGACCGTTGCATTTTGGCTCCATTTGTAGCCTGGAAGTATATAGTTGGGTTGCCCAGCTTCTGAGTTGAGAGCATGGCGTGACAAAGGTAAATTCAGATAATGGCGCGATGCTGGTTGTCGCAATATAGGTAGTGCCATTATGTGATTGAAATTGATCGCGTGTGCAAATCCTGATCTGTTGGTGACTTCTGTTAGTCACTAGTGCTACCATCCGTGATGAACTGCATATCTTACGTCGGACTGTTTGTGTTAGCATTTGAGATGGCTACCGTATGCTTTTATGCGTGTGTATGCTAGTGCATATGCTGAGACAGCAGTCTGTCAATCTTACCACAAGGGACTGTGATAAACATTCTGTGTGTTTTCCGTTGGCACAGGAGCGGAGCAACTATGGGGTGACCCGTTTGCTATGAAGCTGAAACTAAGATTACCAGATTACACACACACACTCACACTCACACACACACACACACACACACACACACACAAATAAATAGTTATAGTGTGTATACATCACTCTTTCACAACGGGAGGTTGGATTATTTCGTCGTGCTGATGTGTCAGCTGAGGGAATTTAGGGGTCAACGGGGGGTGTCAGGACGTGTGATACAATTCGAAAATAATACAAAAGGGGCGGGTATAGTGTCTCGAGACTAGGTGCCGGTAGGTCGTCGGTGCATTATTGTCTCTAATAGTTTGTTTCCATGCTCTTTTTTTCAAGTGGGTAGGGGAAGCAAGGTAGTGTGGGTAGCGCAATGTGGTGTAGGTACCACGGGTTGTGTGGGTGCCACAGGGTGGTTCAGCGGGTAGAGTGCCATGGGGTGGGTAGCACAGTGTGACTCCGCAGATTGTGGGTGTTTTTGTAGTTTACGAGGGTGGTGTGGAAGCAACTAATGGTTTGGATATTATATGGTGTGGTAGCAACTAATGGTTTGGATATCATATGGTGTGGAAGCAACTAATGGTTTGGATATCATATGGTGTGGAAGCAACTAATGGTTTGGATATCATATGGTGTGGAAGCAACTAATGGTTTGGATATCATATGGTGTGGGCGCAGCGGGTGCTGTGAGTGCAGCGAGTTTTGTGGGGGCCTCAATAGGGATTTTGAGAGCCGCGATGGTGCGGGTTATAAGGGGTGGTTCAGTGCGTAGTGCAGTGTGGTATAGCTGGAGCAATGTAGTTCTGCGGATAGCGCGGTATAGTGTGCGTGCTGCGGCGGTGTGTGGGAGACTCAGGGTGTAGCTTATGTTGTGGATACTGTAAGACAGTATGGGTGCCGCGGTGGTGGGGTGCCGTGGGTGGCGCTGTCTGGTGCTATGACTTATTATGCAACAAAATAGGATAATTATTTGGTTCTTAGAGAGTCTAATCTTAGCATTTTATTTGCTTCATGGAGAGTCTGATCAAATCACTTTATCTGGTTCTTGGAGAGTCTGATCGCATCACTTTATCTGGTACTTGGAGAGTCAGATCGAATGACTTTATTCGGTTCTTGGAGAGTCTGATCGCAAGTTTTTTTTTTTTTTTTTTTTTTTAATTAATTAGATTCTGATCGCATCACTTTATTTGGTCCTTGTAGAGTCTGATCACATCACCTTATTTTGTTTTCGGAGAATCCGATCGCATCACTTTATTTTGTTTTTTCGGAGAATTTGATCGCATCATTTCATTTGGTTCTTGTAGAGTCTGATCGCATCACTTTATTTTGTTTTCGGAGAATCCGATCACATCACTTTATTTTGTTTTTCGGAGAATCTGATCGCATCACTTTATTTGGTTCTTGTAGAGTCTGATCGCATCACTTTTTTTTTGTTTTTGGAGAATCTGATCGTATCAATATATTTGGTTCTTGAAGAACCTGATAGAATCACTTTATTTGGTTCTTGTAGTCTGATCGCATCACTTTATTTGGTTATTGTTGTCTGATCGCATCACTTTATTTGGTTCTTGTTGTCTGATCGCATCACTTTATTTGGTTCTTGTAGTCTGATCGCATCACTTTATTTGGTTCTTGTTGTCTGATCGCATCACTTTATTTGGTTCTTGTTGTCTGATCGCATCACTTTATTTGGTTCTTGTAGTCTGATCGCATCACTTTATTTGGTTCTTGTTGTCTGATCGCATCACTTTATTTGGTTCCTGTAGTCTGATCGCATCACTTTATTTGGTTCTTGTTGTCTGATCGCATCACTTTATTTGGTTCTTGTTGTCTGATCGCATCACTTTATTTGGTTCTTGTTGTCTGATCGCATCACTTTATTTGGTTCTGAAGAACCTGATAGAATCACTTTATTTGGTTCTTGTTGTCTGATCGCATCACTTTATTTGGTTCTTGGAGAATTTGTTCGCATGACTTTATTTGGTTCTTGGTGAATCTGATCGCCTCACCTTATTTTGTTCTTGGAGAGTGTGATCTCGGTATTTTATTTATGTCATGTAGTCTCTGATCACATGACTCCATGTGGTTCTTGCAGAGTCTGATCACATGACTCCATGTGGTTCTTGCAGAGTCTGATCACATGCCTTTATGAGGTTCTTGCAGAGTCTGATCACATGACTCTATGTGGTTCTGGCAGAGTTTGATCACATGACTTTGTGTGGTTCTTGCAGAGTCTGATCACATGACTCTATGTGGTTCTGGCAGAGTTTGATCACATGACTTTATGAGGTTCTTGCAGAGTCTGATCACATGACTCCATGTGGTTCTTGCAGAGTCTGATCACATGCCTTTATGAGGTTCTTGCAGAGTCTGATCACATGACTCTATGTGGTTCTGGCAGAGTTTGATCACATGACTTTGTGTGGTTCTTGCAGAGTCTGATCACATGACTCTATGTGGTTCTAGCAGAGTTTGATCACATGACTTTATGAGGTTCTTGCAGAGTCTGATCACATGACTTTGTGTGGTTCTTGCAGAGTCTGATCACATGACTTTATGTGGTTCTGGCAAAGTCTGATCACATGACTTTATGTGGTTCTTGCAGAGTCTGATCACATGACTTTATGTGGTTCTTGCAGAGTCTGATCACATGACTTTATGTGGTTCTGAGAGCCTGATCTTTGTCTTGATCGCATCACTTTATTTGGTTCCTGTAGTCTGATCGCATCACTTTATTTGGTTCTTGTTGTCTGATCGCATCACTTTATTTGGTTCTTGTTGTCTGATCGCATCACTTTATTTGGTTCTTGTTGTCTGATCGCATCACTTTATTTGGTTCTTGTTGTCTGATCGCATCACTTTATTTGGTTCTTGTTGTCTGATCGCATCACTTTATTTGGTTCTTGTTGTCTGATCGCATCACTTTATTTGGTTCTGAAGAACCTGATAGAATCACTTTATTTGGTTCTTGTTGTCTGATCGCATCACTTTATTTGGTTCTTGGAGAATTTGTTCGCATGACTTTATTTGGTTCTTGGTGAATCTGATCGCCTCACCTTATTTTGTTCTTGGAGAGTCTGATCTCGGTATTTTATTTATGTCATGTAGTCTCTGATCACATGACTCCATGTGGTTCTTGCAGAGTCTGATCACATGACTCCATGTGGTTCTTGCAGAGTCTGATCACATGCCTTTATGAGGTTCTTGCAGAGTCTGATCACATGACTCTATGTGGTTCTGGCAGAGTTTGATCACATGACTTTGTGTGGTTCTTGCAGAGTCTGATCACATGACTCTATGTGGTTCTGGCAGAGTTTGATCACATGACTTTATGAGGTTCTTGCAGAGTCTGATCACATGACTCCATGTGGTTCTTGCAGAGTCTGATCACATGCCTTTATGAGGTTCTTGCAGAGTCTGATCACATGACTCTATGTGGTTCTGGCAGAGTTTGATCACATGACTGTGTGGTTCTTGCAGAGTCTGATCACATGACTCTATGTGGTTCTGGCAGAGTTTGATCACACGACTTTATGAGGTTCTTGCAGAGTCTGATCACATGACTTTGTGTGGTTCTTGCAGAGTCTGATCACATGACTTTATGTGGTTCTGGCAGAGTCTGATCACATGACTTTATGTGGTTCTGGCAGAGTCTGATCACATGACTTTATGTGGTTCTTGCAGAGCCTGATCTTTGTCTTGTTCTTTGAAAATCTGATGTTGTCACATTTTTCGTTGTTGTATTTCTCTGAGAGTCCTATCTCAGAACTTTTATTTAATTCTTGGAGACTTTATCTCAACACTTTTAGGGAAGTGGGGGAGGGGGGGGGAGTCTTCCCTAATCTTCTGCATAGAACTGCGTGCTCTGTTTCCTAAACCACATTTTCACTTCACAGTTAACTTTCGCGTCATTAGTAAAATGTCCAACGCCCAGGTGGGTTTTCAGTGGACCAAAAAGGTATATATCGCTAGGAGCTAAGTCGGGGCTGTAAGGTGGATGTTCCAGAAGTTTCCACCCTGGATGGTTAATTTTCTCCCAAGTTAACCTAGTGTATGTTGTCTGGCATTGTCTTAAGGAGTGATACTTGAGTCAGCAGCAGTGGAAGTTTTCTTCTTACTGCATCATATAGCATCGACAGAACTATACGGTATGAATCAAATTCATATTGTCATGTCTTTTTTTTAATTGTTTAAAAGCACTCCTTGACAATCCTAAAACACTCTCAGCATAACCTTTCCTGCTGATGGCGTAAACTTGAATTTTTAAACACAAGGCTAAGAAGGATTGAAGCATGCTTTGATTTGGCCTGGTATGGTATAATCATGTTCAGCATGTCTTCTCCTTCCTCTGCGTATCCACGGAGATGCTGCTAGGACTGGCCTAATCGGTTTATTATGTGTTCGTCCCTCAATTATCTGGGTACCCACCTTGAGCACACTTGCTTAGATCGATCATGCATTATGCTTATGCTGCACCGCGTGAGCACTCTATTGTCGCCGGTACACAGTTAACCATTACTTGCATGTCACCTGTAATCATTGTCTCCACCCACTGCACAGATGCGTCTGTTGCAATCTCAACAGGATGACCAGATCTGACTTCATCAACTAGAGTGTCCTTACGAACAGATTTTTACACAGCGGTGCGCCGCTTTACTGGATACACATTTGTCAGGCCGAGGGAAAACATTTCCTTTTGAATGTCCTTTGCAAGCAGTCCTTTTGTCCCCCCCCCCCCCCTTCCCCCCCCCCCCCCCCAAAATAAAAACCCGGCACAACACAACATTGTTCTTTGAGAGTACACTCTGTAAGTACAGTCAACATTTTCTTTCTGTGTTGCGAAAGTAAATGCGTTTCTGTGTTACGAATGTGCATGCAACGCCCTAGCGCCACCTAACAACGGAGAGACAATGACACATTAGGAAACCATCAACAATAAATGAATTAATGAATGAATACGTTATTTATAGCTAGTTATAGCCACTGGGATCCCTGGCAAATTATCTGAGCCAAGGGGACTCAGCAACCTAATCATTGGGGTGGGGGTAAAAAGGGGGTAAGGGTTGATTGTGGTGTGTGTGCCCAACCCACTGGTCTGATAAAGCTGCCTACAGTTGTTTTAAGTCTCAAGGTTTATGTTTTAAATAAGTCTATTCATCAATTACCTAATCCTCACAAACATGGAATCATAGACTAAACACGTGATTACGAGTATTTCGGTAACATGCATCAGGGGAATTACAAGAGAGACAATACTCTTTCAAATTACAAGGGGAAGTCAATAAGTAAGTCGTACATTGTTATGGCTGTGAAACTTGGACCTTAACAACTGAACTTGAAAGAAAGATACAAGCATTGGAAACGCGATATTTCAGAAAAATGCTTTGCATATCCTACAGAAACCACATTACTAGCGAGGAAGTTCGCTATAAAATTATACAGCACATTGGCAACTATAAACCTCTTTTAACTACAGTAAAAAGTCGGAAAATGCCACAATATGGACATGTAATAAGATCTAACGGCCTCTCAAAAACTATACTGCAGGGCTTAGTAGAGGGAAAGAGGCGAAGAGACAGACCAAGAAAGACCTGGTTACAGAACCTGACTGACTGGACAGGCCTCAGGCATGCAACCATGAAGTTCGTCGCATCTGACAGCCAAAGGTGGAGAGAGCTGATCAGACAGTCAACAGAAACTAATGACGCAACGATACGTAGTGTTACGGGATAATGATGAACATCTCCAAGAACCCGCTATTTATTTACCCACTTGAGTTTGAAGTCTTGTTCATTTGTTGTTCTTCCTGGTCGTCTATTTTAGCACATGACCGCCAGTCGGCATGCCAGCAGGGGACCGAGAGGCATGAGCAGGAAATATCAATAGATTGGAGGCTACAACAAGAATAGGACTGAGTGAGATCTCCCGGAGACTTATTACCGCCAACCTTTACATCGGCAGATGATGATGATGATGGTGATACTGATAGTGGTGGTAGTGATGGTAGTGGTGGTGGTGGTGATATTGGTAGTGATGGTGGCGATATTGGTAGTGATGGTGGTGATATTGGTAGTGGTGGTGGTGATATTGGTAATGGTGGTGGTGATGGTAGTGGTGGTGGTGATATTGGTAGTGATGGTGGTGATATTGGTAGTGATGGTGGTGATATTGGTAGTGGTGATATTGGTAGTGGTGGTGGTGATGGTAGTGGTTTTGGTGATGGTAGTGGTGGTGGTGATATTGGTAGTGATGGTGGTGATATTGGTAGTGATGGTGGTGATATTGGTAGTGATGGTGGTGATATTGGTAGTGATGGTGGTGATGGTAGTGGTGGTGGTGATATTGGTAGTGATGGTGGTGATATTGGTAGTGATGGTGGTGATATTGGTAGTGGTGGTGGTGATATTGGTAGTGATGGTGGTGATATTGGTAGTGATGGTGGTGATATTGGTAGTGATGGTGGTGATATTGGTAGTGGTGGTGGTGATATTGGTAGTGACTGTCAAAACTTCGGTTTACCAAAATGTCCTTTGGCTGCCGCGATGGGCACAGAAGATTCTGTCAAGTATTTTTCTATATTTTGAGCTGGCGTTTCGATAAACAAATATATTTATGCTGCAGCTCACAGCTTCTAGGTTGTAAGCTACCGACAGAATAGTTGTATACAACAGCCCATATCGTCCTGCCGGGTGAAGCTGCGAGCGAATGGACGAAGCCATGTAAAGGATAGTCATTGGACAAAAGCTGGCGATGTAAATTGCGCAAATGGTTATAACGATTTTGATAATTTTCCCCTCTCTTGCTGCAATTAAACTTGTTGTGTCTGCTCCTGATTCTGTCTTCCTCCAGTTGCTTTGTTTTTTCAACTGACTAGTCAGAGCTGTTGTAAATATAATCACCAGAAAGAAGGAAACGTACCCCTGGATATTGAGTATATCGTAACATAAATAAGAAACAGAAAAGTTATTATCGTTTTTGACAGTTGCAAGAAAAGAACGATTTGTTGATGTGTCGAAATCCCAGACCAGATATTTACTGGTATAGATGGGGCATACACTTAAAAACGGGATCAGAAAGGTCATGAGAATTACATAAATAGTTCTTCTGGGTGTCAGAATCAGCTTCACCTTTAAGGGAAGCATAACGCAAATGCATCGTTCGAAACTAGTGTAGGCTGTTATGAGGCTAGTGACACGGCTGAAACCAGTGTGTGGCAATACGGCTATTAAATGGGACACGTTAGAGATGTCTAAAGCAAGATCAGATTTCTTAAACAACGGGTTGTTGAAGATGTTGATTTCTAGCAAAGTTAGCAAGCATCCGAGATCTGAAACGGCTAAACTGAAGAAGGTCATGGTCGACACTTCCCGAAATCCTTGTTTCAGAAACACTAAAATGTTAATGAGGTTTCCCATGATGCCCAGTAAACAGATTGGTGCTGCAGCGACGCCAAGCGCGTATTCTGTGAAGCTTCGGGCGAGAGTGCTATCGATCAGCCACATATCGTTCGGTGTTGAACGGGAACTAATATTCAATGGCATCCACATAGTTTTATTTGTACTATCCCACCAGGGTTGCGGAACATTAGATATTCAAACCGGAGGAGCAACCGCCACAGTAAAGTCACCAAACATTTCTATTGCACTGATTGGATGCACATAAGACGCTTGATTTCAGGCACTCGTAGCCCATGTTTGATGTAGAGGAGTTGTGGGAAAGAACAGTGTATTCGCAGAACTAAAATCTCTGGGTGCTTTCTAATGTAGTTTAATTTTTATTGACAGATTATAGTGATGTGTTCATATACGCTGCTGTTTCCCGTTGGCAGTTATTCTCTGAGGCAAATCTGATCACAAAGCATGACAGACTGAGATGTTCTGTGTCACAGAGCACGACAGTATGTTATGTTCCCTATCCCGCAGCACGACACACTACGATACCTCTTGTTACATTTCACGATAGACTGCTATGTCATTGTCACATTTCACGACACACTTATATTTAGCTTGTGTCACGGCACGACTGATTACGATGTCCCCTGTCACACTTCACGACAGACTGAAATGTCTCTTGTCACACATAGCACTTTTCATACAGCCCTGAACTGCAGACTGCATCCCCTTCAGCTACTTTAAAATTAGCTTTCTTGTCAAAATTGCTGCAAAATCACACAGGTAAAATTAGTTATTTCTCTGCCGGTTACATTTGAGAATAACAGAAACTACGAATCTGTCAACAACCTCAGACTGACTAATAATTCATTTTCAATCTATTGAAGTCGACATCTGAAAGCACAGGAGTAGAAGTAGAAATTATATAAACGGTACGTCTGTTATTTGTACAGGCCAGATCGTCGCTTTCAGATTTTCATTATATTGATTACTATGCGTTATTATCTACATTTAAATAATTCCTCTTCGATTTCCTCTGCGATGACATTTTCATCTGAAACTGCCGCTTTAATTATTAGTTCGCGCTATTCGTTTTATTTCTGCCATTATGAACATTCACATGACACTGCTTAATTTTAAAATGAAACTAGAGTGTATCTAACGATACTATCATCATTCACGTAATTTTACAGAATTGAACCAGTTAATAATTTTTAATGTTGAAAATATGTTTAACATTTCACTTATGTACTTTGCCCCCATTTCGTAAAGTTAACAAAATTATATACTATAGCAGCGGCGACATATTGACAATCTATAAGGAGGAAAGCATTCTCAATTATTTCGGAAGTCTGGCTTTCCGTTTGCTTTTCATCATGGATGTGTGCTGTTCAGTTTCATTCAGGCGGCGTCTTACTTGATATGGTAGTTTTTAATGTACAATGATATCTTTGTGAAAGTAGAAACTGCGGCTTTAGGAAAAGTCAATCAGAAACCGCGGTTACTTGCATTCTGTGAAAGCTGCCAGGAATACAAACACAATGTGAGCTAACCGTTTTTAAACGCATTCAAAGAACCTGGAATGATAACATCAAGAAATTGACAGCTCTAAATTATTATACACCTTTTGATCAAGCGAAAGACAGACTGACTAACTGACTTTCTGCCCCACTAGGACATAACACAAGCGACAAACACCCGGTGACCCAAAGTGCCACCATGTGGATGAGGGTTGCCAAGGAGAGGTCCCAGAAACCGCGTTCAGACAATGGGCCATATTTATGGCCTGCCTATATTGCGGCCCCTGGAAAAAGCCAGGATCGGGCTTCAAAAAAAAAAAAAAAAAATGTAATCCTAAAAAGGACGATACTGGATATATAATGTGAAAGACAGAGAAAATTGGCGGGTTTTATGTGCTAGTGCTTCAGTCAATTCACCTCCACGACAATAATAAGTCGAAGGTTGTGTTATGTTAAACACATTCAAGCACAGAGGTCAACTAAACAATTTCAGTCTCGAGTTGGGATCCTAATCCAGCCAAGACTTGTTTTTATAATTGGCATGAGCTCCCAGGTGGCACCTACGTCAAATGGAAGTTGTCCTGAATCGTGTATGCTGCCGGCAAACTATTCACTATATCAATTACCAAGTGCCTGTTGATTCACAAAAGTAAAGGATTATAAATGTCTCCCATCAGCCAGTCTGTACAACTGAGAGAGAAGGACACTCACAATTGTTTTCTTCCTGTCATAAAACCATCAGCCAGTCTGTAAATCTGATAGAGAGAGCGAGAGAGAGAGAGAGAGAGAGAGAGAGAGAGAGAGAGAGAGAGAGAGAGAGAGAGGGGGGGGGGAGAAAGAAGGGGTCACTCACAGCTAGATATAGGAGAGCCGACACATGCCTTGATTGACATCATTGACGTTACTATACTATACTGGAGACAAGATATAAAATCGAACGAAAAGTATATAGGCAAGCTTCACAATATAACAAATACAAACAAAACATTAACGCTGCGGCTATTGAGCCTTCATCAGCACTTTCAAATGAAACAATACTACACAGACACACAAAATCACTTAGCTGATATCTCGAAGCAGCCGGGTCGGCTGTTTCTCAGCAGAATGACTACACGACGTGTAGTACACGTGTCAGCTGGGAAATAAATACCCCCTGTAGAGTACCATGGGCCATAACTGGTGGGGGGAGGGGGGGTTGGAGATAAAACTGTGAGGGAAGTTTAATCCCCTAGGGGTTTAAATAAAACTGTGTTGGCAATTCAGTCCGGAGGGTTTTAAAGTCCCCAGAGTATAAATAAAGCGATTTTCTAGAGACTTACGGACTCTATCGATGGAATGGCTGGATTTAATGGCTGTCACCTCCATGTCGAGGACACCTTGGTGATCCTGGGAATTGAATTGCAAGGGTACTGGTTTCAGAGCCCTATTTTGCACATCCAAAAGATGTTGTCTGAACCTGTCAGCCAACCAAAGACCTGCTTCACCAATGTATTTCAAGCCACATCTCTTGCAGTTGATGGCATAAATGACAATGCGGCTGGTACCATAGAATGCTTCACGTATGTGGAAGGTGGCGTTAGGGAATTCTAGACTAGCCACACACATGGACAGGTTCTGCATACAGGTCTGTGGCAAGAGACCGTGCCGAAGTGGGGCTCAGACGCGGGGCGTAACCTACTCTTGACTAGAATGTCCTTGAGGTTACAATCATGCCTGTAGGCCACTAGAGGAGGTTCAGAGAAAATCGTGCTGGTGGAAGGGTCGGCTTAAGGATGTAGAGATGCTGAGGAAAATATTGTTGGCGCGGATGTTGTGAGGGTGGTAGGTAAGTGTGAGGATAGGTCTGTTGTTGTGACGTTTCGGCTTGGAAGCGACAGCTTCGGCACGATGGAAAGACCGTGCGCGGTGAAAGGCGGCAGATAGGACATGTTCAGGATACCCTCGAAGCCGGAAGAATTCCAGCATTTCCAGGTCCTTGTTGTAAAAATCGTCGTTTTCCTGGCATAGTCTGCGGATGCGTAGAAGTTGGGAAAACGGAAGAGATTCCTTGCAAGAAGAGGGATGGGAGGACGTGTAGAGAAGAATAGCGGGGGAATTAGTAGGCTTGTTATAGACCGAGATGCTAAGGCCTATAGAGCACCGTGACAGTGAGATGCAGAAAATGCACCGACGAAGGTGAGATGCTAGAAGTGCATCGGATGCTGGGATGAAAATTAGAGAAAAAAAAATGAATGAAGTTCTGCAGTTCTTATAGGGGCATATAGGTGACATTGATGCAATCATCATTATTCCTCCTGTAGAGCTCAGGGAGCCTACCGTTATATGCATGACGTAACTGGTGCTCAAGGTGCCACATGAAGAGGCAGGCATAGCTGTGTTCCATCTCGGTCCCCATAGCGACGCCGCTAATCTGGTTGAAATACTGCCCATTAAACTCGACCGAGTTTAGAGTGAACACCAACTCAGCAAGACGAATCAAGAGGTCAGTGGCTTTGGCAGGGCTGACTCTCCGATCTAGAAAGAACCGCAAAGCCTGGAGGCCATCCGAATGTGGAATAGAGGTGTAGAGGGAGGTAACATCTAAGGTGAAGGTATGGTACCTGGAAGAAGAGGTGAACCGGATAGACTGAAAGATAGAGATAGCATGGTTGGTATCTTTGCTGTAAGACGGAAGATGAACGACCAGGGGCTGCAAAATACTGTCGAGGAACCCTGATATGAGCTCTGTGGGACAAGCGCGGGCGGACACGATCGGTCTACCTGGGTTGTCCGGTTTATGTATCTTGGGAAGCATGTGAAGGCCAGGCTTCGCCAGACTGTTTTCGACAAATAGAGAGCTGACCCGTGCAGGCAGAAGATCTTCCTGGATAAAGGTTGTGATGGTACTTTTTACTATTTTGTTATTTTGTACCGTAACACCCTGTGTCTGGAGTTCACGGGAAGATGTGAACTAAGTTGTCTGTCCCCTTCTTGCACATATAAGTCTTTTCTCCAGACTACTATCGCCCCTCCTTGTCGGCAGGTTGATAAAAATATCATCACGACGTTTTCATCGTGTGAGTGCCTGAAGTTCTTGAGGTGAGAGGTTAGAGTGCCGGAGAGGTTGGAATTTCAATTTACTGATCTCGAAAAGAGTTTTCTCAATGTATTGATCCAAAGCTCTAGGTCCCAGGGTTAGGAGTCCAAGATCTAGGTTTGGAAACCAGACTAGAGTCAGTAGGCACAGGTGCACTGGCTCTCTCAGGACGGGTGCTGTGTTCATATTGCAACCTGAGCCTGCGAAAAAAGTTGTGGGCGTCCTGAAGGAGAGCGTATCGATTGCTAGAAGGGTGTTAGAGAACGAACCGGATCACTTTGCTGAGGACTGATATCTCGGATGTGGACAGAGGGAGGTCCGGAGGTATATAGACAACTCGGTTGTCAGTGCCAGCAAGAGGTGGAGAGGAGGAGAGAGTGGGTGGAGTGGGACGGAGTTTGGTCGATTTATTGTGCTTAGCAGTTGATAGGCATCGAAATAAATGCTGGTTGGTCCTGTTGATAATACACTGTATAACACAATAAAGAAAATAATTATTGGAAGTTAACTGGAATAAACGTCTATCTTACAAACGGTTGAGTTTATGTCGTTAA